CCTGCGGTGGGGTGGGGGTGGGGGTGCACCCTGCAGCGGCTATGTGCCGTTTTCTGTTCCAGCGCCACGCGAGCATTCTCATATGCGCAGGCGTAGTACATTGCTGTGAGTGTTGTTTCGGACACCGCCACGCGTGCATCCAGCAGCTGCTCTTGCAGCGTTCGCACCGTTCGCGAGCCAGTGTGCAGCATCGGGTCCCCTTTTTTCTTCAAACACACATAAGTTTTTGTCCTGACACGGCCACGTTGCTTTTGATCGCTCCGCCCTGCTGACGGTGCTGCCAACCGCACAGGCTCCGCGGCCTCAGGCGAACTTAACCAAATTCATTATTAACATAGTTGCGAGGCGCCCCAGGCATGCTGGAGCACGGCAGCGTGCCGAGGGTGATGCTCCAGCGGCGAGCCTTATGCTGCCGGCACGTAGCAACCAGGAGGCGCTTGAGATGCCAAGCAACTATACCTGTGCCCCAACCACCAAGCAGCGGCGGTGATTTGGGCTGGCCTCAAGGTGTGTTGAGCCCGTGCGGGGCCCCGTTCCCGCAAGGGCCCGTGTAAGATTTCAGAAGAGGTGCTAGCCTGCAAAAACGGCTACAGGGGTGCCTAACGCAGGCTTCTGGGCTCCTACCCCCGGCTGATCTGCACAGCTGACTCGCCGCCGACCGCGCTCACATTCTTTGATGCAGACTTCGCGCAGCACTATGTGAAGGGCAAGGTCATTGGCTCCGGCAGCTTTGGAGTGGTCCATCTCGGTATCGACCTGCACACAGGCCAGGAGGTGCGATGCGACTGTTAACGCAGTCGGTCTGTTGTACAGCAACCGCGACGGCGGTGATGTCAATTGTGGCCGTGACGGCGCCTGCCTGTGGCCATTCCTGGCGCCGCTGCGGCAGCTGCGCGGACGACGCCGAGCAGGGGCAACAGCGGGCTCAAAGCCCTGCGAGCCCAGCCCGGCAGGTTTTGGTGTAGGGTTGTAACCGACAGATTGGGGGCCGCGCCGCACGCGTAAAGCAGCCACCCCTGCGCGAGTTCCTGCGCGTCGCGCCGCCTGCAACCCTGCAGGTGGCGGTCAAGGTCATGCCCAAGCAGCGCGGCAAGCTGTCTAGGGAGCGCACCCTGCAAAAGCTGGTCAAGGAGGTTGGCATCCTGCACCAGCTGCAGGTGCGCGGACCCCTCACATGCTCGGGCCGGCTGCCCAGCAGCGCTGTGCGCACGGGCAGGTGGTGCGGCCTGCACCAGCAGCGGCCCTGCTTGTCGCCGTGCGTTTGAAGGCGGCGCGCCAAGGCGCGCCGTCGCCTGAGGTGGGTTCTGCAGCTGCCTGCGCCTGCACGCCGCACGCCGCCCGCGATCGGCGAAGCGCAGCAGGCGTGGTAAACCCCCGGGTGCCGGCGGCCGCGCCCCCTCGCGCCCGCAGGACTGCCCCAACGCGGTGCGGCTGCTGGGGTGCTTCGAGTCTGGGGAGGAGGTGCAGCTCGTGACGGAGCTGTGCACCGGCGGCGACCTGCAGAAACTCAGCGATGTGAGCGGCCGCGGCGGCCCTGGCCCAGGCGATGGCATTAGGCCCCTTGACTTTCAGGCAGCGGCTGCAGCCCCGATGGTTGCAGGGACGCGGCTGCGGGGCATGGTTTGGCTCGCCTGTCGGGGGGCTGCTTCGGCGGGGCTGCTGCGGCGGCGCCGCTCGTGCTGAGGAGCGGGGGCAGCGCAGCATGAGGGGCACGAGCAGAGCGGCCCCGACCGCGGGCGGTTTGCTGCTGCTTAAAGGCGTTGGCAGAGGACAGGAGGCAGCGCCAGGCTGGGGTCGCCGCCAGATTCGGCAACGGGTGGTTGGGAGGTTTGCGCGATGCTGACTAGGAGTATTGCTGTTTCGAACCCGCAGGACTGGGGCCAGATGCCCGAGCGCGCCGTGGCGCTCATCGCGTACGAGGTGCTCAAGGTGGTGGCCGCCTGCCACGCGATCAACGTGCTGCACGGCGACATCAAGGTGCGGGCGCCGCTGCTGCCTGTGGCTTCCGGGCCAGCCATGCGCGTTTGGACTCGCTTTTGGCAGCAGCACCGCTCTTCTGGCCTGCGCTATCCCTCGCACCAACCCGACTTTTCACGCCCCACTGCGCGCCGTTGCGAAATTTTGTCCCCCCAGCCGGCCAACTTTGTCCTGCGGCACCGCCAGAAGAACCCCTTAGTCAGCGGTGACCTGCAGTACCTCTTCACGCCCTGGCTGGCCGCCATCGACCTCGGCTGCTCGCAGTACCTTGGGCCAGACGTAGGTCGCCGCGCTGCCTGGGGGGGGGGGCTTCCCCGCGCAGTGGCAGGGGCCTGCTGCTTGCTGCCCGCTGCGACGGAGGGGCGTCCCCACGCGGGCGCAGGCGGCGCGGCGTGCGGCTCGTGCTTTCCGGCTCTGTGGCGTGCTCGCAGGCGCCGCGTTGTGCGAACGGCCCCCGCCCCGCACGCGCCCTTCGTACCCTCCCCGACCGCAGCGGTTCACAAAGCGCACCGGGACGCCGGTATACATGGCGCCCGAGATTTTTGAGAGGGATTACTACGTCGAGGCCGACATGTGGGTCAACTCTGCTCTCGATTGCACATGACCTGTCTGCCCCCCGCCCCATGGCCGCGCGGGCGGGCGGTGCAAGCGCCACCCGCCTGCAGCCCACCCCCACGGGGGGTCCTCGACGCCCCCGCCTTGTGCGACCCCCCCTGCGTTGACTTCGTCGCTCAAGCCGCGCCGGCTGCTCCCGCTGCCGCCGCCTCTCCTCACGCCCCCCCCCCAGGTGGAGCGTGGGCATCATGCTGTATCAGCTGTACGCGCGGCGGTTCCCCTACTGGTCGACGTACGAGCAGTGCCGCAGCGCGCGGCTGGAGGAGGTGGCGGCGCTCGCGCAGGTGGGGGGGTGGGGCAGTGCGCGAGGCGGATGAAATGCTGTGCGCGCTGTGTGCACGTGCATTTGAGTGTGTGTGAGAAAGAGAGAGAGAGTGTGTGTATGTGTGTGTGTTTGTGCGCGCACACGCCATTGCGTTGGGCCACATACAACTCAATTCATGCGCCTGGCGGAGGGAGGGAGGCTTGCGGGGCCACACCGGCGCACGCAAGCACAGATCTTGCAGCGGGCCCCTTGCGCAGGGCGCGGGGCCGCGCCCCTCCATGGCGGCCCACCCCCGCCTCGCTCGGCGCGCCCCCCGGCCCCCGCAGGACTCCCCTCTGCCGCTGGACTACGGGCCGTGGCTCCAGATGAGCAGCGAGGGGGTGTCGTTCCTGCGCGGCTGCCTCACGCGCGACTACGCGCAGCGGCTGACGGTTGAAGAGGCGCTGGATCACCCCTGGTGAGCGGCGTCGCGTGTCTGCTTGCTTGTGGTGGGTGCTGGCGCGCGTGTGCGTGCGCGCGAGTGCTTCTGTTGTTTTTTGTGTGTGGGGCGAGGGGTTCCCAGCCCCGCAGCAGCCCTCTGCAAGCGGCCGTGGCCGTGCTCAACGCGCCCTTGCTGGTTGCCGCTCAGGCCTGTGTCGGCGGCTCGCTGCTGCTTGCCGTGTGCGGCTCGGCGCAGCCCGGGGCGGCTTACAGCCAGCCTCGTGAGGGCGGCCTGTCTGACCCTCGTCGACGCGTGCTGCCTGCGGCACCTCTCTGCAGCATCACAAGCGCCCGTGCCCTCCCCCGTGCAGGTTTGACAAATGGCTGCCTGATGAGGATGACGTCATGGCCGACCGCGTGGCGTCGGGCAGCAGCGCGGCCCCAGCGGCGGCCGCCGGCGACGGCAAACGCGCGGGCCCGCTCGACAGCCTTGGCAGCAGCTCGGACGAGCAGACGGAGCAGCACCGGCAGCATCTGGGCCAGCGGCCGCGGGGCGCTGGCGCCGGGGGCGGCGTGGGGGTGGTGGCGGGCGCGGGCGCGGGGGCGCATGAAATGCACCGGATGGTCTTGGTAGATCCAGGGCTTGCAAAGCAGCAGCAGCAGCAGCAGCAGCAGCAGCAGCAGCAGCAGCAGCAGCAGCAAGAGGCGCATCGCCACCAACACCAGCAACGGCAGCAGCTGCATGACCAGCAGCAACAGCAGCAGCAGCAGCAGCAGCAGCAGCAGCAGCAGCAGCAGCAGCAGCAGCAGCAGCAGCACCAGCCGCCCCACAAGCGGAGGCAGGTGACGGCCCCACACGCTCAGCACGCTCAGCATGCTCAGCAGCAGGGCCACGCCGGTACGGATGTGGCGGCGCACGGCGAGCAGCAGCGGTTACCAGCAGGCGGCCGCGATGCGACCGGCGGCAGCATCCCGGTTGGCGTCACGATTGATGGGGCCTCCAAGACGGCCAAGCGTCACAAAGGTGCAAGCAGCCCGTTCCATGTTGTGTGAGCCTTCGGCGCTCTCGGCCGGGTGAGGCATCAACCTGAAAAGATCACATTCACCAGGGTGGGGGCCACCCTCTCCCGGCACATGTCGCCCCCGCCTGTCTCTTCTAGTGTGTTGCCCTTTGATCAGCAGGGCTCGCGGCTGACGCGGGCTCCTGGGGGCGCTCGGCTCGGCGCCAGGGGTTGCAAGGGGCCACCGGCGCACCTCGCCTGCAATGCCTGCTCATGCTTTTGCTGCACCGTTTTGGCACAGGGTTCCATGGTCTGAAGAAATGCGCCCGCTTGGAGGCGCCAGGGTTATGTGCTGTTAGCTCGGAGTTCGCAGCCACCAGCGCCGCTCGGTTGCGGGTGTCGCGTCTGGGTGTGCAGGCTGCACTCGTTTTTTCTGTGCAGAAGACCCGGCTTTTACAGTGTGCACACGCACTGGACGTGACTGTATGTGTGGGTGGTCGTGCCCATGCCCGTGCCTGCGCACGCCCTTTGTGCCGTGATATCCTTGTAAAACCACCGCCACAACGATCAGGGCCCGCTGGCTGCTGAGTGGCATACCGCATGGGGCCACACAAGGGCCACTGGTGTTGCAACAGCAAAACGCCAAGGACGGTTGCATTGCGGTGGCACTTGGCGACCGCTTCAAGATTTGAAGCACTTGCATCGAACAAGTTTATGAGGTTGTGTTAGCAGCCAGTGGGGATGCGTCTGCCCCCAAACCTTGCCGCCGGCCCCCAACAGATCGGCAGCCTGGCAGACGTTCGCCACGGGCGGCATGGATTTTTTGTCACACCGCTCTCCCTAAAGATGTTTTACGCCGTGTAGTTTGTGTTTCTGGCATTTTTTCTAACTTTAACTGTCCGACCTCATTCACCGCTCACGCGCCCCGTGGCCCCTCTCAAATCTCGAGACCCAACCCAACGCCATGGCGAAGCGCGTCGCTGAACCCAGCCGTAGAACGTCTGCGAAGCGAATGCGACTGTTTAGCCGTCTTATCGAGGACTGCAAGCAGGTGAGCTGGAGCCGCTTGTCAAAAACGGCAAAATAACACGGCGGCAGCGATTTGGGGCCATTATGTGGATAATATGGTGGTATAAAGTGTTTGCTATGGTATGCGGTCCAGTGGATCGGGCCACGGCCTGAAATGACTCCTATCCCCCGCAATGTCCCACCCCTCCGAAGGTTGCTTATCCGGAGTTTTCATTGCTGATGGCAGTAGCTGCGTCGCAGCCGCCGCGCGCGGTGGGTACGGGGCCGGCGAGCGACCCTATGCACCATGTCGTGGCAAATCCCAAGGACGTGGGATTGCGCTCCCCGCTCAGGGTTGCCATGCTGTCGCGTGTGCGACTGCAGCTGGGCTCTCTGCATATGAATAGTGTTTGTGTCACAACAGCCGCGCGACGCGCTCATCTGAGTCAGCTCCCTCATGAGGCTCTCCTCTCACCCCTCATGCACACAGGCCGAAGAGGGCGCGGCCCCATCCTTCCACCAGTGGGGGTGAGCCGCGCGCGCGCGGAACCCCCGCGCGCGCTGCGCGCCGCGCACGATATACAATGCTGCCGCTTCTATTATTATCGTCACCACTCATCGCTGGCAGCCTCCGCCCTCAGCGGTGTTGGCACCCATGCACCTTCGCCCCGTCATACACACACCCATGCGCACACTAACACGCACGCACTTTCATGCAACGTCTGCCGCCCATGCAACATCGCGCAGTCGCCCAACCATCGAGGACTCGGACTGCGATGACACCGCCACCAGCGCAGGCAGCAGCGCCGTCACCGCCGCCGGCGGGCCCAGTGACGCCGGCGCGCGCTGCACCCACAGCAGCGGCAGCGGCAGCAGCGGCAGCGTCGGCGGCCCGGCCGGCGCGGGCGGCGCGTCCTGCTCAGCAACCAGCCGCGGCGGCGGCGGCGGCGCCGCGTGTGGCTTGTCAGGGCTGGCGGCGGCCGCCGCATTCCTGGAGGCGCGCGACCTTGACCAGGCGCCGGCCCACTCTGGCGGCTCTGACGGCTCCGCCGGCGACGAGGCGTTCGCGCTCGCGTTTGACCTCGAGTTTGACCGCGCAGCCGCGGGTGTCGCCGCCGCTCACAGCGGCGGCGGCGGCGGCGGCAGCGGCGGCGGCGGCAGCGCGGCGCCCGCGTTTGGCGGCTTCTGCGTCCCCGGCGCGGCCGCGGCGCGGGCGGCCGAGGTCGAGCCCGTTGCGTGGTGGTGCCCCGGGCCTTTCGCTGGCTTCAGCCCGCCGCCGCGCGCCGCCGCCTGCGAAGTGGTGGCGCCACTCTGGGGACGCCTCGAGCTGGAGGGGCGTGCCTGAGGCGTGGCTCGGGCATGCGCCGCGCGCAGGCGCATGCGCGAGGCTGGACGGGTGCGCTCAAGGCCCCCTCGGCCCCCGCCCCCGGTGATTCCGGTCGTACGCGCCTTTTCTGGCGCCTGCGCATCATAGCTGTGCGCGCGCTCCAGTAGATCAGATATGGGGCTCTTCATCCCCCGGGCCAAGGGCTGTCTTTTTCGAGTCCCACCCCACCTACAACCATGCACGCGTACCCCCTTGCCGCCAACCACCTTTCCATAACCAATGCTGTCCCGGCGCTCTGGGCTCGGATGCGCTCGCGCACGTTTATTGAGCCTGTATCTCAGGGCGTTCTGCGCCGTTGCCTGTGAGGCTGGTGTGCATGTGGGGCCGTTCTCGGCCGCCCCGCCTCCCCTGATTCGTCGCGCTCCTGTTCCAGCTCGAATGCGGCCAATGGGGCCACCGCGCGGAATCGCGCATCCATAGCTTGTGAGTGTATTTCTGGCCGACCCGCGGGGCCTCCGCACGCAGCCGCCTTCGGCACCCTCCATGGCGGCACGGCGGGGGGGCACGCGGCGTCGGTCATCATCAGAAGTGAGCATAAATCGGGCGGCCGCGTGGCTTCTCGTCCCGATGCGCAAAAGCGCAAACATCAGCCACCGCGGCAGGGGCCTGCAGCCCTGTTTTGCTCGCCGGCTTGTGCACTGGGCCACCCCACGTGCTGCTTGCTCGGTCGGCAGGGGCTACGCCTCAAGCGTGCAGGCGTGATCCACTCTCGCAAATGCGCAATTTAAAACGCGATCGCGACAGCTGACGCTCTCACGGGCTCTGCATTGCGGCTGCGCACAGCTAGCACATCTGAACAGCCCCCAACATGCGCGCACGCGCGTGCTCGGCAGCATATGCCGTGGCACCCGCGGCGCTTGCTGCCACGCGCATCACGCCACGCTTTAGCTTAGCACGCCGCGAGATGTCTTGAGGGAGCCTGCCTGTGGAGCGTTTCAACCACTCCGGGTCCGAGTTGGGACAACAATCAAAAAGTGGTCTCCGCAAAGATGCCGCCCGGGCAGGCACCGGCGACCCGGGCCGCCGGCCAGCCGGCCTTACTGCCAAGGGCGGCTGCCGCCTTTCCTGCACAGCAGCAGCGCACCAGCGCATACAGCGTCCTCGTTGGTTTTTTGCGCATGCGCCGTTTTTTGGGTTGGTACAGTCCTTGATTCTCACTCGCTCTGAACTTGAACACGCGTCGTTTCAGTGGGCGCGATCGCCCCCGGCCCCGCTCGAGCTGCTTCCCTTTCAAAGCCCAACTAGAGCGGCCCACTGCTGCATGCAGCCATCGGGCCGCAACGCCCTTACAGAGGGCGGCGAAGGGAAGAAAACCTACCTCGGACGGCTCTTGCCGGCCCCGCAGCTTTCTGATGTGTGGCCCGTGCGGCCTGGCCTGGATGCGCGCGCTCGCGTGCCGTGGCTCCTCGTAGTGGCACGCCCTTTTTTCCCGCATGGGCCCCGCTTTTGCCGATTGCGGGTTGACAGCGGTTCTTCAGACGCGCACCCGCAAGCTGAAGGGGCCTGGTTGGCTAGCGGCGCGGTGGGCGTTCAACGAGAATAACCGCTGGGCGCAATGGCGGTTTTTTTTCGGGTCGATGGCCCAGCTTAATTGTACTCTACCTTATCCGTCGGCGCGGGCATCACACCAAAGGGAAGTCAAATATACAAGTGTAACCAAGCTGGATGCGTTAAAGTCACAGTCACCTGTGCTGCCCTGCAAAGCTGGTTGGGTTGAATGGCCCGCCCGCCAACCATGTGATAGATCATGAGCAAGTGAAGCACCCACCGCTTGTGGTGCAAACTAACGAGCTATGTATATTAATGAGTGTGATAATCTGGTGCATCGAGCGAATGGCAGCCCTTCAGTGTTCAATTGAGGGCCAGGTTCTAAGCTGGGCTCGCCCTCTTCGGGTGACCCCAGGTGACATGCCCAAATAATGATGCTGATCGCACGCTTAGCACGATCACCAGCTCCCAACGTGTTTTACAGCCCCGGACCCGATAATCGCACCCTCATGCGAGCCGTCCTGTCGGCCCGACCGCGGTGTTGTCCTATTCGTGGGCTGGCATTATACAATCGTGCGCTTTAGAGGTTGTAGGACGTAACCTGAAGTCCTGCCAAGGCTGCCCAAGCAGTTGTCGGCGCGCAACAACACACAAGCGCGCCTGCCGGTGTAGAGTGCCAGCCAAGCCAGAGGACCTGACAGCAGCTACATCCCTCCTGCCCAAGCGCAACGAGGCATCCCAACTCCCTGCTTGAAACTGCCAAATATGCGGGCCGCTGTCGTCGCCCTGTGCCTCCAGCTGCTGCTGGCGGTCGCTGCACTCGGCGCCGGGGCGGCGCCGGGCCGTGTGCTGCTGGCGTACCCCGTCCTCACCACCGACGCCGCGGCGCGCCCCTCCAGCGGGTCAGTGGCGCTGACGTGCGCCTGCGTCGACGCGGGCATCAATAGCCCGGCCTGCTTCTCGGGGGTCACGAAGTGGTGCCAGGACAGCGCCGCGAAGCCGGACATGAAGGTGTGTGCAGCTATGAGCGGTTTCATAAACAAGCAAGACTTCCCCTCCGGTGAGCAACGAACTCGGCTGGGACCTTGAGGAATGCACAACACGTGTGCGGTCCCATGCTTGTCAGCTGCAGGCCGTGGAGGGCCGAGGAAGCCCCTGCAACAAGCGCCAACTCTGAGATATTGGCATACACAACAGCTGCGCAACGGCAGACGCCCACATTGACCTCCCCCCCACCCATCCACGCACGGCGCTTTGGTTGCTGCCTTGCGCAGGCATGGTGGTGGCGCGTTTCCTGATTGATACCTGCAAGGTCAAGCTGCCGGTCAGCCCCAGCGCCTGCGCCTGCCTGGAAGTGAGCGGGCGCAAGCGCGTGGCTCAAGGCGGGGGTGGTTGGGGTGTTGCACGAGCCAGCACGCGGATGCGGGGAACAGCAGGCGCCTTTTGATAGGGGGACTGGGTGACGTATGTGCAGGCATGCGGCGGCGGCGGCGGGTTGACCCAACGGCGGTTCGCCGTCACGGCAGCTTTGAGCAAAATAACAGACAACACTGCAGCGCTGGGCCCTGATGCGGCTGCCGTGACAACGTTGGGGCTGTCAGCGACAGAGATTCACACACGCACGTGCGAACAAAATTTCACACACGATCACACACACACACACACGCACGCACGCACGCGCGCGCGCATGCGTTCGCATGCCCACCACTTGGTTACCCCCGCGCAGGGCTATGACACCCTGGCCTGCCGTTCCGCCGCCCTCAACGCCTGCCTCCTCGGCAACACGCTCTGCCCTGCAACAGTCTTCGGCCCCGAGGCCCTCGCAGATGTGAGCCACCTTGGGGGCCGAACCGTGGCGCCTATGCCACGTCTTGCTGCCTCCTGCCGCTGCCCAGCAACGCCGTCAGCTGTTTCGCGTCCGTTCGGCGCTCCCCACGCCCCGTTGCCTCTGAATACACCGCGTCCCATGTCTTGGATCCTCACAGCCACCGGAACCCCCACTACAATATGTTACCAACCAGAGCCAGGAGAGCTTCAATCTATATGTGGACCGCGAGTGCGGCGCCAACGCGAAGCTCGCGGCGCGCATCGACATGAACTTTACGGGCGTTACTAAGGAGCAGTTCCAGCTCAACTACGCCAAGGGTGTCGCGGCCGCGCTGGCCCAGATCGTGCAGGTGCAGGCGTCCGAGGTTACCGCGTCGAGGATCCGGGAGGTGATCTTCGCAACGGGCCCGGCGGCCGGCCGGCGGCTGGCGCAGGCTGCGGACGGGGCACGCGAGAAGGTGCGGCGGCAGAGCCGGTCGGGCGAGGCGGTCGCGC